TTTTTTTTTATTTTTAAATTGCTTTTTCAAAATCTATTTCATAATATGATTCAAAAACATCTTTATACAAGTGATGAATTATGAAAATAATTTGAGTTTTATGCACTTGCTAAGAATCGAAGAGTTAATACATTTACATTGAAATTCCGATAAACTATTTCTAAGCTTTAATCTCAACGTTTTTGTTCTTGTTCTCTTCGAGTCTCATTTAATTGCTTGTTCTTCAACGGATGACGATTTGACTCTTTGAATGCTTAAGAGGATATATTCATGAAAAACTCAAGAATCAAAACTTGTTAGAAACAAAAGTGTATTGTTTTTTATAATCAAAACAAGTTGAGCTATATTAAATCACAGGTCAACAATTTTTCCATTTTTGATTATGACAAACAATATGTGATTTGTAGAAATATACAAGATATTCCCCCTATCTTTTAACATCAATGAGAATCAAGTTTGTATCGTATATAGCATGATGTTCTAAAGACATTCATTTCCACAATTCATTGATATAGTAAATCACATTTAGAAGTCATCATAATGTATAGAAATAATTGAACTCACAAATTCTAAGTCACATAATTCATAACCAAATGGAAATAACAAGAGTTCATAATCAAATAGTAAGTCACAATTACAATCACATATTCCTTCCTTATCACATATATTTCTTCATTTTCCCCCTTTTGTCATCATCAAAAAGTATGGGAACAAAGATACTAGAATAAATTCCCCCTTAGATAAGGCATATGTGCAAGTTAGGAAAAAACAAGTGAAAGTAATCATAGGTCATGACATGAAAAATAAAACATGAGTTCAAAAATGAAAATAGAGCTAAGAGATAATATTTTAATCTTCCGCCTGTGGAGGAGGCCCTTGAGGATAAATGGAATACATGTGTGCAAAGAAGGCCTCTTGAGATAAACTTATTTGCTCCGTTCGTTGATCAAGCGCATTGACGATAGTAGTGAGAAAATCAATCCGGCCTTGTAGGATGTTGAAATGATCTACGGTCATAAATCGGCCGGGGGTCAATGCTACATGTGGAGTAGGACCCCTATGATGTGCTCGAGAAGAATCATCATCGTCATCACCATCACCACCATGACCATCCATTCCTTCTTCCGCCTCTTCTAAAGTGAATGGCCAAGTAGTAGGCCCCAAGTTATTATCGAAGCCTTGAGTATGACACACCCATTACCCATTGTCTTTAACGAATATCTTGACTTTTAGGGTGATGAGATTAATGAC